GTAGTAGTAGTAGTAGTAGGAGTGATAGTAGTAGTAGTAGTAGTAGGAGCAGTAGTAATAACACAGCAGCAGCAGTGATAGTGGTAGCGGTGGGAGCAGAGTGGTAGTGGTAGTGGTAGTGGTAGTAGAGGTAGTGGTAGAAGTGTCTACTACTAAATTAGTACTAGTGGTAGTGGTGTTACTAGTAGTAGTCGTCGTGGTAGTACTAGACGTCGTAGTGGTGGTGGTGGTAGTAGTAGTAGTAGTAGTAGCAGCGGCATTAGCAGTGGGAGCAAAAGTTGTAGTAGTTGTCGCCGTCGTCGTCATTGAGTACTCGTCCTCGTAGTGGAGGCAGCACGACTGCTATTATGCTGATCCTGCTGCTGCTACTGTTACTGCTGCTCAGCTGCTGTGGTACGACGACTACGACGACGAGGAGGACGACGACGACAACCAATACTACGACTAATCCGCCCCTACACCGACGGCGACGACTGCTACAACCCTGACTAACGCTAACGACTGTCTGTACTTCTGCTTCTGGTGCTGCTGCTATGATTACTTCTACGACTACGATCACCACGACCACCACGACCTCCACGACGGCTGTGACGGCGATGACGACAACGTCGACGACATTATCATACGATTTCTACGCAGAAATGGGACGGCGGCAACAGAAGAGAGGCAGTCCTTGGCAATTTCTCTCCCGCTCATGCACTGCCTGAAGTTGGCATCAGAGATGACCACGACAAAGGCCTGCTTTTCGCGCTCAGGCTCCACGGAAAAGTCTTGAAGCACCTGATGGGCAGCTCCATGCTATCCAAGTTTGCATGACGTGCACTGGCTCAAACATGCCAACCTGGTATCCATGTTTTGGAGTTCCGGATAAAGCTGAGACGGCCCCTCACTGTCAAGGCAGGTGACTCTGGATGATTTTTGATTTTGAGAGTGCCAGAGGCTGAAGAGCCAGGGTGCAGCAGGGAACAAGGTATGGTCAGAAGGGCAGCAGCCCCTCAAATTACACTCTTTGAAGCTTTGAAACCATAAAGAAGAGATGAGGGCTTGACACTGGAGATTATGGGACCAAGATGCTGGAGGAGCGAAGCGCAATAGAATATCTGAAAGAATAGATTTTGATCCGCTCCATCGAACATCGCACCAAGTGAAAGTGCTTCAAGTGGTGTTATCACAGTACGCTGGCCTCACAGAGCACCAGTCTTTCATCTAGCTCCCTTGCAAGCCGGCCGAAGACCTGCTATCCATTTTCATTACAAGGGAAGCCTGAAGTCTTGAAGTACGAAGCCAGCCCGCTGCAGCACAGTACGACCGAAGCAGACTGCGCCAGTTTGAAGCGGACGGCTTGAAAGCCTTCGATGACGATGATGGTGACACTGATGTTGATGATGATGATGATGATCATGGCCATGACGATGGCAATGGCGATGATGATGATCATCATCATCATGATCCTCATCATCATCAGCATCATCATCATGCGCATCATGATGGTGGCTGGTCCGGTGGTAGCCCTTGTATCGGCAATAACCACGACAAAAAGCGGTGACAATTAAAGCTAGCGAAGAAACCATGACGCATGCCTGCGAGGATTTACGGATTGCCCCTCCGCACCTCTTCCAGGGGGGTCATCCATGGTTTGCTAGATTCAAGATGTACTGAAAGATTTCAGGCCAATGCCCACCACTCTTGGGATTGAGGGTCCTCCACTCCTTATCAATGAGGACCGACAACCTCCCCTGCCTATTCGGCGTCAGGATTGGTGCTCATAGCCATTTGGCTGTCGAGGAACGCCGGGCATAAATCAAACTAGAACCATGATCAGCCGTCTGTGGAACAGGAGTGGGTATGACATTGTATGACGCTTGTCTTATCTCCCAATCCATGGGCAGGGGCGTGAGGTATTGTGAGGTAGCATTGACACGAGAGTCGTGCAGAATGACCGACCCGCAGTCCAAGCTCGGGACGTAGTCTATGGCGGCATCCGTCGCCTGCCGGACTTTGCAGAGCCGAGTTGAGGCCATTCGCTTCAGCTCCTACCTCGATAGTGTTGTCCCCCGGAAAGCAGAACTGGCTGTGTGCCAACATCTTCTGGAGGATCTTAAGCCGCTCCCCACCTGGCCCAAAGATACTGCTGCTGACCGTGGGTAAGCTGCAGCTGTGGTAAGGCGTCCACGATTCGCTGGCGGGTGCCCGAAGCATACAAAGGGGATATGAGCACTCTCTCCAGAGTGGCCAAGTATCGCGTAATCCTCAGTGTCGGTCTCTCAAGGTGCGCTGCACTGCGCATGAACGCCAGGAATCCAAGGTTTCAGCCATGAGACAAAGTCTCTGTGGCCCTCCATACTTTCCAGAATCAGGCATGTAGCTTCCAGCATTCGGTTTAGCCGCCCATCCAAACTGTTGAAGCGGTACATTGAACCAGAGCAGTCCATGACGAAGCACAGGCGCCGCTTCTGCCTCGTGAAGACTGAAATGCCGTTGCAAGGGCTGCCAAGGCTACTTCGCGAACTAGTAACTAGCATATTCCCACCCCATGCATGCACGCCGAGTTCGCCTTCGCAGGGCAAACGAATCAGACAAACTGGCTTCAAAGCTACTGATGCAGAAAACCGCGGCTTCGCCTTCTGGTGTTTTCGCCGAGCTGGTTTCGTACTTCAGCTTCCCCACGCTTCTTGTACACACTGCGTTCTCCTGCAATTCCCTCCACCAATCGCGTGTCATCCAGTTCACCATCGGAGCAATTTCTCTTCCAGATACGCTCTGTCTTCTTGTCCTTGGCATCTCGGAATATAGCCCGCAACTGTGCCACTTGAGGTTCGACGTTGCAGAGAATGTCTTCATATAGAGCCCACATATTCCTGCCAGATCGCGCGATCGCATGCAGAAGCATGCCAGCTTAAAGTATTACAAGAAACGGGAAAAAAATACAAAAGAAACGACTCGTCTCGTTGCTTCAGCCTCCGAGGCTCGGATCCATCTTTTCTATGTCTTCCAAACGGCTTTGCCAGGCCTGTTCAGGGTCTTCCGAGGACACATCCGTGGTCCAACTGCCAGGGCAACATGTAAGCCTTGGCCTGCCCGGCCTGCCGGGCCAAGGCTCTGGCTTTGCTTTTCGACTCCGAGCTGACTTCTTTCATGGCGTCATCCACTTGGAAAACCTTGCAAGGCGTGACCCGAGAATCCAATAAGTCTGTAGTTTGCACCGTTTCTGCCTGCATTTGGTGCATAAGCAGCTCATGTGAGTACTTGGTGTCGCCCGGTCTTGTGTGTGTGTGTGGAGGCCCCGATTCTTTGCTAAGGGTTTTGGAAGCTACTATGTACAGACGCAGGGGACCGTCTCACAAACATGGTTGACGGTCCAGCGAAGAGGACCATGCTTGTGACGGATATGGGTCACTCGATCCACGTACCTGCCCTTTTCAGACTGTGTGGCTACGGGAAAGAGAACCCCCGCCAGCCAAACATGCAAAGCGTCCACACGGCAAGTATTGTGGGGCTACAGCCCCTTTGGCTAGTGTTGAAACAGCTTCAGGGTGTCCATGCGGGGCAATTGGAGCGAGTTTGGGATGGCTCAGCGGCCCGTTTTAATGTACATGCCCAAGCCAAGCAGAAGCTTAAAGCGTTGTTGAAAGAAAAGGAGCAGCAGCAGCAGGAAAGGCACGAAGCTAGAGGGTTTGCATGCCTCCCCCTCAGCGAGATGGAATCTCAGCGGATCGAGAGGGGGGTGTATTCCCCAGAAAAGTCACTATGAATCTGAACACAATTGGCCCAGCTTGAGAAGGTAGCAGAGGTCCTCTGAGGGAACCCCCGCAAAACTGAAAGGTAAAAGGACTTTAGCAGGCGGACGAATTAAGTCAATTCACAGTTTGGAAAAGAAGGGGCAAATCCCCTGCCAGGCCACTCTCACTTGCGTTCACTGCTTGCCTCTTCTGCGGTCTGGCGCCCACTCACGTTGCCTTCGGTTGTCACGCCGATGTTCTCGGTAGTCGGCCTACGATATCTTTTCCACACTGGCATCCGACTCCTCCTCTCTCTGCCGGGTGATCGTGGTAAAGTTGCAGGAGACGTTCTCGCTGGCGGGTTGTGAGCATCGGAGGTGCTCCAGTTGGTTGTGGTGGAGCCGTTGCCCCCGGAATCATCCTGAGGATCACCTCCCCCCTCATCGTCTATCGCTGCAATGGCGTTGTCTTCGCGTTCACAGAGGTCACCGGCAGGCTGAGGTGGCGGCAAAGTGTCGGGGCTGTGCTGGGGTGCCTCCCCGATTACCGCTCATGCCCTACTCGGGACATTCCCCGGTCGATGGGCCCAGAAAGTTAGAACTTGGATTTAAGATGATTTGTGCCGGGATCCCCTATACCTTACCTTCAGGGCATGAGGAGAATGATGTTCCAACTTTCTGGCTTCTGCTGTAAGTGCGTGCACGCTTGCCGGCACGACATGTGCTTGTTGAAGGCAAGCGCCATCTTGAATAATGAGGTCGTCGAGGTCGGTGTGCAGCGCATATTCTGGGGCCTAAGGTTGTCGCCGCGCCAAGCGGTGGTACTCGAGGTAGTAGGCGAGATTGCTGCAGGAGGACTGGCAACAGCACGTATAGGGGACAGGAGGTTATACCCGCGCCAAGCAGTGGTACTCGAGGTAATAGCCGGCAGTGCTGCAGGAGGGCTGGCAGCAGCGGACAGTCCGTGCTGAGGGACCTGGGGTCGATTCCCGACGCCTCCTCGAAGTCCAATATGTCACGTAGAGGCTCAATAGGGGGATCGGCCGTCATGGTGTCGCAAATGCTTGTTGCAGGATGTTGCAGGGATCCTTGCATTTCTCCCCAGCTTGCCTGCGCCTTGCATGGCATCAGTGCGCTTCCTGGCCTTCTGGGGCGGGGAGCAGAGTTGGCAGTAGTCACTAGTCGTCGAAGGTTCTCTCCGCCTTTCTCAGAAGGATGGCGTTCCTGATCTGTTCGATGTGGGTGTACTATGCGATCTCCCCCGTCCTGCCACAGTCACAGACATTGAGACGAAGTTGTCCCCCGCCCAGCATTGGGATAGGTTCAGAAAGGGCGGCCCGACTATCGCCTCCGATTAGAAGAGCTCTGGGCAGGGGACCGTCTCGCAAGCATGGTTGACGTTCCAACGAAGAGGACCATGCTTGTGACTGATATGGGTCGAGGACGCTCGATCCACGTACCTGCCTTTTCAGACTGTGTGGCAACCAGGCTAAGCCGAGAACCTGGAAGCTTTCATCACATGGCTGACACAGGTACTCTTGTACAACTCTGACGACCAAGGAACTATGGATCCTGAATTCTGGACGATAATGGCTGAAGGCCTGTTTCACATTCATATCCACCCTCTCCGTGTCCGTCTCTCTCTCTCTCTGTGTCTGTCTGTCTGTCTGTCTGTCCGTCCGTCCGTCCGTCCGTCCGTCCGTCGGTCTGTCGGTCTGTCGGTCTGTCTGTCTGTTTGTCTGTCTGTCTGTCTGTCTGTCTGTCTGTGTCTGTCTGTG